AACAAAAAAAAAAAGAAAAAGAAAAAGAAAGGAAATTGTACTTCATCAAATTTTAAAGTTCTGTGTATCAAAGGACACAATCAAGAAAATTTAGACAACCCACAGAATGGGAGAAAATACTTGTAAATCTAAATTGTGTGTGTGTGTATGGGGGGGGCGGCAAAAGTGGGTTTACAGTTGTGAGTACATTAAAGTTTATTTTGTATTAATTACTGTCCTATTTTCCAAATGAAAACTGTAAACCTACTTTTACCCAACCAGTATATAATTTTTAATATTTTAAAATTTTATTTCAGAGAGGAAGGAAGAGGGAGAGAGGGATAGAAACATCCACGAGAATCATTGATCTGCTGCCTCCTGCACGCCCCCTACAGGGGATCAAGCCTGAAACCTGGGCATGTGTTCTGAATGGGAATCAAACCTGTAACCTCCTAGTCCCTGGGTCAATGTTTAACTACTGAGCCACACAGGCCAGGCATATATGATTTTTTGTATGTTATGTTACATCATAAAAAAGCATTCTAGGTAGCAGAGATCCCCTCCCTGAGCAGCCAGTTCTTACAGATAGCAAAGGGCCAGCCAGGAGCGTGTCTTTGATCTGCAGACTAACCAATCCAGAGCTATACCTCCAGTATCTGGCTCTGCACCCCAGGAAGCTATAATTTCTCTACTTTAATCACCCCAGGGCCAGTTACCAGGCAATTGAAGGCCACTCGCATTTATTCAAACTAGCCAACCCTAATCTGTTTGCCTTGCCCTCCCTCCCCTTTCCCTCAGACACCCCAATGAAGGCCTAAGTACTCCCCCAGGCTCCTGACCACCCTGGCATCTTTCCCACGTGGCCCTGTGTGTGCAGTGCCTCCCCTCTCTAGGACATTTGAATATACTAAATTGTTTTTCTGAGCCTCTAGTCTATTGTGTTTCCTTTTGTGGCTACACCTGTTGTGAGTAAACCAAAATTTAATTTTAGATTGTAATAAAGAATAAAAAGCATTTATGTGAGCAAAGGAGTTGCAGTGTGGAGACATAGATTTAGGTAACAACCTAAATTGTGTTCCCCCAAGACAAAGGGGTGGCCATCTTTTATAGCAAAAGTCTGCGCCCAGGTTCTAAGTTAGGCCAGTTTTTTGTAAATGAGGTATCCAAACGGCACAGTTCTGATTGAAGGGCAGGTCTCAGTCCATTGGTAGAGAAAATGAAACCAGGATTTCCCTGCAGAGATGGACACGGGCAGGTCATAGGGCGGGAAGACAAGAGTTCAGTCTGAGGTTCTTCCAGGAATACAGAGAATGGGAGAAGCTCCTGACAGATAACCGTTAGACTCTTACTATACATAAAATTTGGGTCTTCAGTTTAAAGCAGGTTATGAAAAAGCTAGGAAAATCCCCTGGCAAGTGGAATGGGGAAACTGAGACAGAGAGTTATGCATCTGAGCAATTAACAGCCAGCTAACAAATCTCAAGACCTTATCCACCCTCACCAAGTGTTCCTGGAAAGGGACCAGGACCAAGGCAGACCTGCCTTGGCACAATCTGGAATGTGTGGGTTCTTGACTTCACGCAGGAAAGATTTCATGAAATGAGTCCAGGTAATTCTGAGAGTGCGCTTACTAAAGCTGGGGACAGTGAAACAAAGCAGGGGCTGAAGATGAAGGAGGCAAAACCTTAGCAATAGGACTGAGGCCAGATAGAGCTGAGTTGGCCCTCTGGACATGTGAGGAAGGGCCAGGCCTAGGCAAGGCTGCCTCGGTCCTTTAGAGAGGAAATCACAGAGGCAGAAAAAGTGAACCAGCTGGGCTGCATGGACTCGGGAAACAAGTTACAGAGGCAAAAGGAGGGACATTGGAGACAGGTTCCGGGAGTTGGCCCAAGATGAGCTGTCGCTGCTCACTGCTCCCCAGGTTGCAAGTCTCCTTGGAATCTTTAGAGCAAAAATACACGCCTGAGGAAAGGAGGATGAGGGCACAGACCTGCACAAGGGAGTATGCTGGGTCCTTTGTCTTGATTGTTTTTATGTTTTCTAAAGGCAGAAATTTTAGGGAAAGTCTCAGGGGAGAGTCTCAATATTAACAGAATATCGAATTTTGATATGCTGATGCATAAAAATGGTCATTCTCTGGTCAGTTTCACCTTCAGAGAATGTCACCAGTTCTCTCAGAGTTGGCTCCGTGGGTTGAGCATAGGCACTCATGCTCAAACCTAAAGGTCCCAGGTTTGATTCCAGCCAAGGGCACTTACCTCAGGCTCTATCCCTGGACCTGGTCGGGGCACATGAGGGAGGCAACCAATTGGTGTGTCTTTCTCACGTTGATGTTTCTCTCTGTGTGTCTTCCCTCTTCCACTCTCTCTAAAAATCAATAGGAAAATATTCTTGGGTGAGGATTAACAAAATAAAGAGCAACAAAAAAGAATGTCACCAGAAGGGACTGGGATCAAGGCTGGTCTGCTCTCCTCACTGTCTGGAATGTGTAAACCATTTGCTCCTAAGTGTCGTTGGTGAGGGAAGATAAGATCTCCTAATTTTATTAGCTGGCTGCAGATTCCTGGGCCATCTGCTTAGCTATCTATCTTGGTTTCCTCAATCCATTTGCCAAGGAATTTTCCTAGTTCCTTACTAACCTTCCTCACAAGGACACTAGGGAATAAATGGTTTACATCTTTCCTCCCCAACCAGAGAGAGGAACTTAAATCAGCCTAGTCAGGGAGGTAACAAACACCCAATTAGTGCCATTAGTGCCAGCCAAACAGAAGAATGGATAAAGTCAGAGGGATAAATAACTAAACAACAACCAAAAATGAGAGCCAGACAAATCTAAGAGGAGAAGCTGACCAGAGGATAATCTCAAACCCCCTACACACTCACTGTGATGCATCAGCACGTTAGAGGACACACCAGGAAAGCTGGTCAATATTCTGCTGAGATCCTCCCCTGAGCTCCCCTAAAATTCCCACTTTCAGAAAACAAATAAGGTCCCAGTGCATGCTCTCCCTTGAGCATGTCCAGGGCTCCCTCTCTTCAGGCGCCAACTTCCTTTCTCCTAAGCTCCAAGGGCCCAACTCTCCAGTGAGCCAATAGCAGTGCCCCCTGGCTCACTGCTGTGCCTATGGCTTTCATTAGTGAGTCTGGGCAGCCCAGCCTCGCTCACTTCTGTGACCTCCTTTCCCGCGTGTACTTCTGTCCTAAGGCCTACCTTTGTTTAACTATCCCAAGCTTTAATAAACACTCTAAAAATCACCTGGACTCGTGCCTTGAATTCTTTCCTTGAAGAAGTCAACCTCAGACCGTGCCACAGCTGACCTGCCTCAGCCCAGTCCCTTCCTGGAGGCAAGTTGCCCACGGGGAGAACATTTCGGAAGATAAATTTCTTCTTAAGCCCACGTGACTGACCGTATCATAAAGTAACACAAAACAAAATCATATCTGATAAGTGTCTACTATCCAGAATATATAAATAACCCTGCAACTTAACAACAAAAAGACCACACAATCTAAAAATGGGCAAGGTATTTGAATAGACATTTTTCTAAAGGACATATGCAAATAGCCAATAAACACAAGAAAATATCTCATTAGTCATTAGGGAAATGCAAATCAAGACCACAAAGATATCCTTGCCAGTTTGGCTCAGTGGATAGAGCATCGGCCTGTGGACTGAAAGGTCCCAGGTTCGATTCTAGTCAAGGGCACATGCCCGGGTTCTGGGCTCAATCCCCAGTGGGGAGCATGCAGGAGTCAGCCAATCAATGATTCTCATTATTGATGTTTCTATCTCTCTCCCTCTCCCTTCCTGTCTAAAATCAATAAAAATACATTTAAAAAAAAAAACACAAAGAGCCGGGACCGGTTTGGCTCAATGGATAGAGCGTTGGCTTGGGGACTGAAGGGACCCGGGTTCAATTCCGGTCAAGGGCATGTACCTTGGTTGCGGGCACATCCCCAGTAGGGGGTATGCAAGAGGCAGCTGATCGATGACTCTCTCTCATCGATGTTTCTAACTCTATCCCTTTCTCTTCCTCTCTGTACAAAATCAATAAAATATATTTAAAAAAAAAAAAAAAAAAAAAAAAAAAAAACACAAAGAGATAGACAATGATAGTGTTGGTGAGGATGAGGAGAAATTAGAAACCTTATTTGTTGCTGGTAGATGCTACTGCTTTGGAAAACAGTTTGGCAGATCATCAAAAAGTTAAACATGAAGATATCCTATGACCCAGCAATTCCTAGTTGCACAGCCAAGAGAAGTGAAAACATGTATCCACACAAAATTTGTACAAGAATGTTCATAACAGTATTGTTCATAATAACCAAAAAGTGAAAACAACCCACATGTCTATCAATGAATGGAGGTACAAACAAATGTATATATAATCTAAACAATGGATTGTTCAGCTATTAAATAGATGAAGTATTGATTTATGCTACAACTGATAGATCCTAAAAAACAGTATGCTAATTGAAAGGAGCCAGACACAAAGGCCACTTACTATATTACTTCATTCATATGAAAAGCCCCAAACAGGCAAATCCAGAGAGACAGAGTATGTATTAGTGATTGCCATGACATGGACAGGAGGAGGAATGAGGAGGGATTGCTAATGGGTATAAAGTTAACTGAACCTGAGACTCTTCAGTTCGAGGGCCACTACTCTATCAAACTGGGTAGGGCTAAATATATATACTTTTTAAATCAGAGGTCAATAAAGATATTTAGGGGGTTTTAATAGACATAAAAGTAGGCTATGTATTTTATGCATATAATACTTAATCCCTTTTAAAAGTTGCTACAAGCAATACTAATCTATTTCCTATGTGTAAAGATTAGTGTTTATGAGTATAGAATACTAATTTATATAAAATAAGATGTAAATTACTCTAGGTTAAAAGAGCTAAACTTTTTTTTAAGCAATAGTTTTGAAATACTATTAATTATAACTGCCCAACGAACCTAGCAGGTAGAATTTTTAGCAACCTTCATAAAAATTCACTATTATTACACAGAATTAGAGATTGTTGTGACTTTTATTCAATTTGGTATCCTGATTAGAGTAAGTACAGTGAGAAAAGTATACTTTACAAACAGGCCATTAATGCTACATTATGATTATGGCTTTACATTGGTTGTATAGAGAGAAAAATAACATTGGAATTAAGGCAATTACCGCATGTGCAAACTAAGCACAACCCTGACACAGTCTTTAATAAAAAGTTCTTTTGGTTACATGGTGGTAGATATTGCTGCATGCAGGTCAGCACTGCTTTGAAAAATAAGCTCTGCACACCTTCATTCATTTAAAAAAACAACAACAAAAAAACCCTCCTACTGGCCCACGATGGCTAGCAGCAGCTTCCGGTAATCTCCGCTCGTGTCGCTTGCGATCATGGTGCCCAGGGTCTTCTGATACATCTGACTGAACATCTGCTTTATTTGTACGAGATCAATCTGCATGCAAGAGATGATACTTTTAATGTTAGGGAAAAAAGCTGTCAAAAGAAAACTGCCATTTATTAGAACTATTTTTTTGATAGTGAAAAGATCCTAACTACAATATAACCAAAGCAGAGGGAAAATAACACCAAGTGACTGACATTTTATAGTCAGCAATCACCCAATAAAGTCTGGCTCACTGTTCTGTAGAAATATTGGATAAGGATGGTACGAGTCTCCTCTATTATTCCAAAAGTATTAGTCATTTAAAAACCATTGGATAATCAGATAGCTACTATTAAAAACACAGAAAATAACAAGTGTTGGCAAGGATGTGAAGTTGGAACTCTTGTGGATTGCTGGTAGGGCTGTAAAATAGGCAACCACTGTGGAAAATGGCATGGTGATTCCTTAAAACAATAACAAAATATAACTGCCATATGACACAGCAGTTCCACTTCTGGGCATTGACACAACAAGGAAAGCAGGGACTCAAAAAAATACATGTACCCACGCTCAGAGCAGCCCCGTACACAGCAGCCAAAAGGTGGGAGCAACCTGAGTGTCCACTCACAGATGAATGGACAAACAAAAGGTGGACAGACATACAATGATTATTCAGTCTTAAAAGGGAAGGGAATTCTGACACAAGATACAACGTGGATGAACCCTGAAGACATTATCCTAAGTGAAAAGAAGAAACAAAACAGATACAACAGGACAAATACAGTATGTTTCCACTTATTTAAGGGACCTGGGGGTAAGCACTTACAGGGACAGAAATAGAATGGTGGCTGCCAGGGGTTGGGGAGAGAGAACGGCGCATTATCGTTTAATGAGGGGGAATTTCGGGTGAAAAAATCCTGGTGGTGGTGGTTGCACAACAATGTGAATGTACTTAATGCCACTGAACTATATTTTAAAAAAATGATTAAAATGGTAAGTTTTATATTATATTTTATTGCAATTAAAAAAATACCTTGCATAGAAAATTTAGATCTGTGAACAAATAAATAAAACACCCTATTCAGACCTGGCTGGTGTGCTCAGAGTTTGAGCTTCGACTCATGAACCAGGAGGTAAGGGTTCGATTCCTGGTCAGGGTACATGTCTGGGTTGCAGGTTCAATCCCCAGGAGGGGATGTGAAAGAGGCAGCCAATTGATGATTCTTTCTCATCATTGATGTTTCCATCTCTCTCCCTTTCCCTTCCTTTCTCTGAAATCAATTTTTTTTTTAAAAGATTAAACACCCTATTCTGGTTGTCTTTTTAAAAATAATTTACCTTCTTTAGTATAATTTAGTTGCATATGTACCTTTTCTTTCAATAAAAATATCCAATAAATATTTAAAAATCAAAAGAAACCATTTGAAGCTATATTTAGATAAAGAGACAAAGATAAATTTCTTATTTTATAATTAGCAAGGAATGCTAAATTTCAGGAATTTTTCATCTCCAATAAGATTACGTAGGTCTTTTAGACAGTTTTTTACGTAAGCAAAATGAAAACCATCCTCCAGCTTGCCTTAAAGGAGTCCTCTGCAGCCCTTCTCAGGCGGGGCACTCGCTCTGCTGCCGCCTCAGGTGCAGACAGTGGTCCTTTCACTAAAGCCTCTCACGGCCGAGGAAGGGACCACTGAGCTTTATACCGACGGCCAGCCGTTCCCGACATCACTCCCGAGGGACTGACAGCCACCGGAGGAGCTCTTACGGAATCAAAGACAGAGAGGAAGGCTCACCTCACTGCGCGTGACCACGATCCGGACCAGCGTGGAGTCGTCCGTGCCCGCGCCCTTCATGGCGCAGTAGAGCCTCTCAGCGAAGAAGGCCTGGCGGTTGAGGGCGCACTGCACTGCAAGGCAGAGAGGCCTCAGAACCGCCTGCCCGGCTCCCGTCCTGCTCCCTGCCTCTGATCTCCTGCTCCCTGCCTCTGATGGTTCCCATGGCATCGCCCCAGGACTCTGAGGCTGGGAATATTCTCCCCTTGATTTTTATCGATTTTCTTTATAGGTGCACCGGACTAGCTGCTTTCAATTCCAAAAGACTCCCTCTGGCCCCCCAAAACCCATTTTCTCTCCAGATGCAACAGCTTAGATGCTTTGTATTTGTTCCCCTCACAATGAGAAGATATATAGCAACTCTGCCCTAGTACTATCTTACTTAAAAGCAATGATGAATTTTGAGTTCTAGGAGTCAAATATAGCATTTTCCCAGATAAGGATATGAGATACAAATATTACAAAAGAGAAAACAGATTTGAGCAAAGATTTCAGAATAAGAAGTCTAACCTGGCCAGTGTGCTCTATTGTAAAAAACCTAACAGGCTTTTCTTAGTAAAATTAACTCAGCAAAGTCTTTTCCTGCAGATGGTAGAGAATGTTTCGTTATTAATTTAGCTAAAATGCTGTAGTATTATTTTAAGACCTTCAATTGCTAATATCAATGTGTTACTAATACTCTCTTTAGTCCTATATTCTCCATGAGGATAATAGTTCCAGTTCATTAGGCATCTGAGTATCAGGAACCAGAAATTTGGTATTTAATTCCAAAACGGAAAGGAGTCTCCTTAGGCTGAGTGCTTGAAAAGTGTTTTGGGGGCTCAAAAACAATGCTTTGTGTAGTGGCACTCATAGCTGCTTAGTGCTTTTCCAGTCACCTTAATGGAAATGTTACAATCTACCATATAGTGTGTGTGTGTGTGTGTGTGTGTGTACACACATATATATTTTTTAAATTTTAATTGATTTTTAGAGAGAGGGGAAGGGAAAGGTGAGGGGAAGGAGAGTAGGGGGGAGAGAGAGAAGGAGGAAAGATGGAGAAAGAGAGAGAGAGAAAGAGAGAGATTTGTTGTTCCACTTATTGACGCCTTCATTGGCTGATTCTTATATGTTCCCTGACCGGGAACTAAACTCACAACCCTAACTTATCAGGATGACGCTTTAACCAACTGAGCTATTTGACCAGGGCTCTCATATATTCTTGCATAGTTCTCAAGAAGGGCATATAGAACAAACATCAAATAATTCTGAAACAACCCTGATTGATCATGCCACCAACCATTCACAGCCTGGCTCAGCCTTTGCTTAAGCAGATTCCAGGGAGGCTATATTGTCATAACTTAATAGGGACAAAAAATATTCTAAAGCCTCACTCATTTACAAACAAAATAAAGCAGAACACAAAAGTATCTTACAGATGGCCTTCAGACCGCTTTCAACATTTCCGGAGAACTCACGACCAACACTGCTTAACAAGTCTCGATTAGCCACCTGCAAACAGAAAGTATAGGGGTTAAAATGTTTTCACACCTTCAAACAGAAGCCAGGCCTTCCAAATAAAAGCTCATACCCTGGAATAAGCCTCCATGGTAGCTCTCAGCTGAGGAAAGCTTCTTGTGGCGAGAATCATGTTGAAGCAAGACTCATCTGTGCCCAGCTTGCCCTCGCCAGCCTGATAGAGACGCTGAGCGTCCTCCTGAGCCATCTGGTGGTTAACGTTCTGGTTCTCGTCACGGTTCCCCTGGAAAAGAAGGCAGAAGGAAGGAAGTGAAACAGTTCCATTAAAAATGTTCTTCCCAGTCCAGTCATTTATTAAAGATGAATGCGTAGCCCTGGCTGGTGGCTCAGTAGCTGGAGCGTCGTCTGTACACCGAAAGGTGGAGGGTTCCATTCCCAGTCAGGGCGCGTTCCCGGGTTGGAGTATGAGCCCCACTGGGGTGTGTGCGGGAAGCAGCTGATCAATGTTTGTTTCTCACATCAATGTTTCTCTCTCTTTCTCAAATCAATTAAGAAGTTTTAATTAAAAAGATTAATGCATCAAGTCTGTCATGCATAGCTTTCATTTCCAAAGGAACTACACTAGTGTAACGAGTACTTCATTGCACTGTCAACTTTGAATTTTAGAGTATGTGATCATGATTTAATGAGATTATGTTAAAATGAGAGATTTTCAAGGGCTTTGAAATCTAAGTTAAACCAGATATTTATACACACACTACACACTCACACACACACCACACCACACAAACACACACAAATCTCTACTAGGAGAAATAAACTACCACTTAAATGAAGAGGTTATTTTTCTCCTTAGCAAGGATTTAAGATCTATATGCATTACACTTAACTCCACTTTGTATTCATTAATGCAACCTAAAGGTAGGAAGCCCTTGCTTTGTGCCAGCCTCTCCTCTTCAGAGAACAAACCAATGGGATATGCTACATGCTCGGAACAAGGTCTCTGCCCTCAAGGAATTTAAGTCAAGGAAGGGAACATACTAGTATAATATGGAGGCTTCGTAAACTTCCTTTCCTTTCCAGGTGTAATCTTAATATGTAAGTATTTATTATGAATGTATAAATAAAAATGATGCATGAACTTTTTAGAAGAAGGTATAAATAACTCAAATTCTTCTCGATTGTGCCGATTTGTATACCAAAATCTCTCCTGGGCTAGGAAAGGAGAGGGAAGGAGGGAGAGAAAGGGAGGAAGGGAGGGAGCTGTGAGCCTGAGCAAGAGTAAAGCTTAGATGGGCAGCTGATTTCACTCCAAAACAGAAACACAAAGGAAAGGCGTCCTCTGGAGCCTCGGTGTCTGAGGATCACGCAGAGGTGTTCCCTTGGTGAGGTGCTGCCTTCCGAAGAGCCCTGGCCACATATTCCAGCGGACACCTGAACACAGCGCGGGAGCAGGGCTCGGGGACACTGCCTTCCGCATGCCTTAGCCTCAAACACAGGCACTTCCGGTTTCCTAGGAAGCCATTCCTCCTCACGCCCTGGAAGGGGTCCCTGTGCTTTATAGACCGGCTGGGCCTTGAACCCTGCAGAGATTCCACACCTCATATAAAGGCTTCATCATTTTCAGTGTTAAACCCGTCCCTGTTTGTTTTCTTCTCATTCTCTCTAAATGCTAACCTCCTCCCTGCTGTTCCTCTGTTGTAGGTAAATCCCGTTTCCTCTCATCCGCTTGTGTTCTCTCCTCACTTCCACGCCCACTCACTCTGGCTCACTGCCCTCCCTGCAGCCACCGGCCCTTGCTCTGAAGGGCCTCTCTCCTTCCAGACGCCCCAGGACTGCCGACCTTGTGCTCTAGCAGGACAGCCAGTAGCTGCTGATATTGGGTCAGTATGCTAGTCTTTTGCATCATCTTGCTCAAGTAAACCCTCATCATCTCAGTCTAAGCGTGTTTATAATATCATCCCAAATACCCTATTTAGAGAATTTTCTGTCTCCTCTCCAGCACATCTGGACCATCAGAATAAGGAAGGTGCCGATCACCATAGTTCTGTGGATCCTGAAGCACTTTTGTGCATTTCTGTCTCTCCTCACACAGTGCTTACCCAAAGCACTTCCATGGAGCTCCTGCGTGTCCGTACTTAATGGCAGAACTTAACTGGCTAAGCCTGAAAGTACAGATTCATCCCATCCCAAGACACAGCTTCAAATCGATTTCTGATTCCCTTCAAAAGCCAGATGTACAGAAAGAAATCTCAACAGTGACTACAGAGAGTCTGTATACTGGGTCCTGTGTTGTCCCTCTCACAGGTGGCAGATTCCCAGGGGCTCAGTATTAGAAGGATGCAGGATGCTCACTGGCACCAGGCGGCAAAGACTGTTCCCTCCGCCCTCACAACATCCACACGGCACTCACCTGGCACATGGACACAAGCAAACGCTCAAAATGCCCCGACGTATCAGACCTAATGTCCTTCTCAAGGTCTCGCCCAAATTCCGACTGATAACATCTGACAATATCTTGGATTTCCCGATTACTTCTTGTGCATAAAATTTCAATCAGTACACGTTCCTGAGTTCCTGCTCCCTGTTCGAAATAATGAAAGGAAGAATTACACAAAAGAAAAACAAAGTCTCCGTAAGTTATTAAATCTATCAAACATTTCTTTGGCCTCCAGACCTAAAAAGCTCTATATAGTCAGAGATTTTAAAGAATGTATGATTTAGTTGTCACTGTGAATACAGAACTGCCACAATTTGGAGGGAAGGGAAGAGAAGAGGTTTAAACTGGATAAGACATTCAAAGTGAATGGCATATAGTACCTTCATTGCATTCCGTAAACTCCAGGCATCATAATATGTAGTTGGCATGAACAGGGCAAGGATCAGTTCTTCCATATTTCCACTTAACTCTGATTTGAGATCTTTGATTAAATCCTGTTTAATTACAAGTACAAACTAAGTATATGTGCTCTCCAAATTTCATAATTTACATTTTTAAAGAAAATACAGAAAATGGAATTGAATTGTTTTATGAAAACAATATTATACAATAAGTAAACATATACATTTAAAGTTTGTTATGCTCAAGTAGACATTGTTTTATTCATTCTATCAATAAAAACTTAAATTCTTACTATAGTTCCATCACTATACCAGGTACAAAAACAAGAAATTCATGAAACAAAGAACAATTCAAATGAACAAAATGATGAGCAGATAGTTATTAGTGTAAGAAACTGTTCTTGTTCTATGAGGAAGTTGAAATCCTCATCACGGTGTTATCTGAAAAATAAGATAAACATCTGAAAAGAGGTAAGGCAGCCGGTACTCCAGCACTGGATGAGTAGATAGCACAGATATTAACAACAGAAAAAGTTAAAGTGAGCTACAGGAAGCAAAGAAAGTTTTTAGTCTAGATCTTGAAGAGGATATAAAATTAGCAGGCAAAGAGGAAGAAGAAAGGTATTTCAGGCAAGAAGGAAAAACAAACATGGAATAGGAAAATGGTTTCCAGCCTTGGCTATGCATTAAAATCATCTGTGGAATTTTTCTTAAAAACAAACAAAAACTGATATTGAGGAAAATACTCAAGAGATTCTGGATGTGGCGTTTTTTTTTGTTTTTGTTTTATTTTTGTCAGTTATTTAAGCCAAACTGACGACATGCCACCGAGCGATTGAATTGTTTTATGAAACGATTCTAAGTTCTAAAGGAGATCATGATGATGAGCTAACATTGAGAATCACTAACTTAGGGGCAAGAATGACCAAAGCGAGCTCAGTGGGACAATAAGACAACCAATTTTGTTAGAGTGGGAACATTTTCACAGGTGAGTAAATCAAAGTTACAACTATATGCTTGGAATATTACCTTGAATACTAAGCTAGAGTGTTGGGATTTGATTCTGCAGGAGCCACCGGAAACGTGTGTGCAGGAAAATGGCGCCGAGGTGGCAACAACAGGCAGAGTGGACTATGCTGACAAGAGAGGCTACAGAAGAGAACATTTAGCAATGAGGGAACTGTGGAGTAGCTAATTTAAGCCAAATCCTGGAGAGGTTGTCTGCCGCACAGAAAAAGAAATAAACGTCTTCTAGGCCAAGAGAACAACATAAACTAAGCACAGAAGTATAAGAGGTCATGGTGTGTGCAGAGGATGGCAAGAAGTTCCATGCAGTCGTAAACAGAGGATATGCTTAGAGGGAGGGGAAAGAGTGGAAGATGATGCCAAGGACCAAGAATAAGCAGGGGCGCTGTGAGAAGCCCTCGGATCCCACTCTCAGAGAGGACTGAGAACCGTGCTGCTGATTACGACTGTGTCATCATCTCCTTCCTCCTGAACACAGACCACACACAGACCTGTGTAAGGTCTGATAACGTGACCAAGGACTGCTCTAGGGTTAGAAAGCCTTGTAAGAGGAAAAACGATTACACTCCTCCCAGGGCCTCTGGAATGTAGCCGTTTTGTTCATCGCTAATAATAAAACGATAGTATCCAACCTGACATGGATGCAGCATCTACAGTCACTGTGCACGCTCCCTTAAGCAAGCAATTACCTTTCCGTACATGGTCTTAAAAGCCGCTTTGATCTTTTGCCTTTGATCATTGGAGCGGGCGGACACGACATCCACAATCGCCTGCTCGTCTGTCCCTGAAAGAATCACACACGCGTGAGTAAGGATCCCTGAGGAAATAAATGTCTTACATGTCTGCAGGGTAACTGGTGCCTGGTTAGACGGAGGAAGGTGCACACGGGCTGACATATAAACGTGGTTTATGATGTAAAGCTTGTTTTTACTTTAATCACATAAACTTATTATAAATGAGACAAGATCTCCTTTCCTTACCAAAACCCTTCATTGCTTTACGAAGAATTTCCGCATCTCTCATGGCATCGAAGTTGGCAGCTGGCCGAATGGTTCCTTGAGTTCCCTGAGTCATGGCGGCGGGCTGGGAGCAAGAGGCACAGCGTCCAAGTCAGTTGCTTGGGCAACTATTTCACAATTATACACATACCAAACCCTCCCGCTGCCACTGAAACCATACTGTTACATGTGAAGTACATTTCAATAAGACCGGTGTGTGTGTATGGGGGGGTTGGGGGGGATAGAATATGAAAAAAAAGTTCACTTTTTAAATTAAAATAATACAAATTAAAAATAAAAATCGAGCCGAGACCGGTTTGGCTCAATGGATAGAGCGTCGGCTTGGGGACTGAAGGGTCCCGGGTTCGATTCCGGTCAAGGGCATGTACCTTAGTGGCGGGCATACCCCCCAGTAGGGGGTGTGCAAGAGGCAGCTGATCGATGACTCTCTCTCATTGATGTTTCTAACTCTCTATCTCTCTCCCTTCCTCTCTGTACAAAATCAATAAAATAAATAAATAAACATTATAATTTTAAAAAAATAATAAATAAATAAAAATCGAGGAACATTTGCAATCTTGCTCCCCAGCATATGTCCTCAGTTTGGCTCAAACTCAGTAAAATTAAAAAATTAAACGAAATAATCCAGGACAGGATTTTCTGTTGGAAGGTCAGCTCAAGACTTCCCAGTCAAAACTCCGAGGCCCAGGGTGTGAGCAGTTGTTGTCAGAGCTCATTCTGGAAGAGGCAGGAAAGGCTTACTAGTGTCTCCCTCCTGCCAACACTCAGATACCAAACTTCCAGGAGACGAGGAAAGCTGGTAAAATTAGTGACAATCTTCCTGTGCCTTGCACCCCCTTGGAATTCCTTGGGATATCCTTTTGGCAAGGATAAATAAATAAAAGCATAAAAATACACTGCTTATGTTCCCGGTAACTTGCAAAAGATATAAAGAACATTGCAATTAAAGAGTAAAAATGTTAAAACAAGGAGCTATACAGCAATGAGGCAAAGATTTGACATTAGGAGACTTTCTGGGGCTTCTGAGAAACCAATTCAACAATTAACTGGTTGCCATGTTTAAAGCGCTGGCGAGCACCAGTTCATAAAGGTAAACTAGAATACAGCTGAGCCCCAGGAAGTGGTTAGAGACAAATACACAAGAAATCAGAAACAAATGAAGGCATATGTAGAGAAACTAGAAATTAGTGAACATCAGAAAACCTTACTCACTTCACTGCTATTATCCAAAGAAGCAGGAGAGAAAATGGGATAGGAAGAAAAGGACTCTGTATTGATCTGAAAGGAGAGTGGAGAGTTATAAAGGTAAAAATGGAAGACAGAACCACACTACCTAGAACAGTGCCAGAAACACCAATCACCCACTCACCCAAGTTGATATTTATAACTGCCAGTGGAGGAAGAGAAAAAAGAACTAAAACCCAGGCTAAGAGCCCAACCGAATCTCCATGAAAAAACTGTCTTAAGTATTAGCCCCTGTGAGGAGGGACCTAGGTTTGTCTTATCAAGGTCATCAGGCTACTACTCACAGCAGGTAAGCGGAAGAGAGCATGGAGTCCATCAGAAGCAAAGTTTAAAGTCTTAAGTGATGTCACAGAACAGCGACTTTCAACCTTTCCCATCTCATGGCACACAAACTGATTACTAAAATTCTGCAGCACACCAAAAACATACTATCTTTCTGCTGACCTGACCAAAAAGGTACGATTTTTATTCATTCACACTGGGTGGCTGCTGTCATTTTTTATTTGACAATCTAACAGAAGAGAGGTCAGTGTCCCTGACTAAAGAGTCAGATTTTGCATGTTTTAAGAATTCTTGTGGCATACCGGTTGAAAATCGCTGTTATAGACCATCTCATTCGCTTCCTGGAAGCCTCGAATGTGGCAAAGGCATTCATCAGTCACCCCTACTCTACTTAAAAGGCAGGAGCAGCAATACCTGGGAAGAGTAAGGCGTTTGTCCTCCGGGATACTGAGAAGGCATCTGTCCTCCGGGAAAGCCACCTACACGTTTACAAACATCCAGAAAAACAGATTTTACATGACTTAATTTTTCAAAACAGCATTGGTTATTATGAGTTAAGTAAAAATGTAAGAACATTCACATTATGTCACTCACTAGGATAATTTTTTATTATACCTTACTAAGTCTAAAACAAACTAGGTCATAAGAGCCTTTTAAAATATTCCACATCCTACATCATATCCTAACAAATACACTTTTCTTTAAAACACTGGAGCCAGATTACATTCTGATTCCATCTGGGAAGGATGTGAGGACTGGTTCCGGGGGTGGCTTCATCTGTGGTACCGGAGTGAGCAGAGAAGTTCCACAGGTTTTTGGCTTTGGGACATTATTTTTTTAATTGAAAAAGTGGATCTTATTTCAATCTTACTAATTATATTTTCCCACCAATTAATTCATTTCATGAAACCATGTATTTCAATTTATTTATAAAAGTACTTAACATAAATGTGTGTTGACAAACAGAAACTAAGCTCTCTCAAGGGCAACTGAAAAATTCAGACGATCACGCTGTTCTGTCTCTGAGCAGCGGGTACGTACCGGGCAGCGGGGCCTGTGCCGGGACGCCTCCAAAAGGCTGGCCGTAGCCAGGGTAGCCTGCTCCCCCGGGGGGCGCTCCAAATCCTTGGCCTGGGGGAACTGGAGAAAAGAGTCAACTCTGGTGACAGTTCTCATGACTAAAGAGAAAACTCCAGAAAAATATCTACTGTTAACAGTGAAAAGAAGGAGCTAATAATGATGCTTCTGGTCCCTTTTGGCCTAAATTCAACTCCTTCATTCTCAACAACTCCTTCCCCATTAAAAAAATAAATTTAAAATTTTACATCATTCATTTGCCTTAGTAAGTTACAGTATAAAAATGCTAAGTTAGCCGAAACCGGTTTGGCTCAGTGGATAGAGCGTCTGCCTGCGGACTGAAAGGTCCCGGGTTCGATTCCGGTCAAGGGCATGTACCTTGGTTGCGGGCACATCCTCCCCGCCCCCCCCCCCTCCCGGTGGGAGGTGTGCAGGAGGCAGCTGGTTGATGTTCCTCTCTCATCGATGTTTCTAGCTCTCTCTCTCCCTTTCTCTCTGTAAAAAAATCAATAAAATATATATATTTTTAAATGTTAAGTTACTTTTTTTCCTCTCTGGACAAAGCTATTCTACAGGTCACAATCATGCTAAATGAAATGCCTTCATGTGCCCTGGCCGATGTGGCTCCACTGACAGAGGCATCATCCCCATGCACCAAAAGGTTGCTGGCATGATGCCGGTCAGAGCACACACCTACCTTGCGGGTTCGATCCCATCCCCGGACAGGGCACAACAGGAGACAACAGATCGATGTCTCTCTAATACATCAATGTCTCTCTCTCCCCACCCCTCTCTAAAATCCGTAAAAGCATATTCTCTGGTGAGGATTGGGGGGGGGGGGGGGGGAAGCCTTAGTAACTTCTAAGATTATAAATAAACTGTTATATATTGGTCTTTTATTACCATGAGATTTCTCCCAATTTCTTTCCCAGTTTTGGAGCTTGCTCCCAGTTGGCAGGCCCCTGAGAACGTTTGCACTCTATGTCGCCGGCGTCCTTGCTGTCTAAGGCAGAAAGTAGGCCAAGAGCTATTCTGGCCTCATACAGAGCAAGCAGGAATGAGGAGGAGGAAGGGAAGAGGGAACAAGTGCTGTAGGATGCCCTGGCCCATCACTCACCTACTGGATAGGACGGGGGCGCTCCGGGCTGCGGGGCGCCAGCGTAGCCGCCGGGCGCCGGGTAGCCGCCGGCTCCGGGGTAGCCCCCGCCGGGCGCGGCCGGGTAGGCGCCCCCGCCCATGGGCGGAAAGCCGCTGGGATAAGGGTACTGCCCGGGAGGCGGGAACGAGGACTCCTGGCCCACAGGCTGCAAAACCAGAACACGTTCTCAGATGAATGACCACAGAGAAATGTGACCCGCCTACCGGAGGGAATAGACAGCAGTAACTGTTACTTGTTCTTTTACATATTCAAAGCCCCACTAGAAGTCTTGGTATCTTATACTAGTTTATCAATAATATCCCATATTTTTCTGGACACTTATCTCTCAGAATTCAGGCTCTTTCCAAACGTTCAGGAACAAGTAACAAAGCTCATTGGTTCCTTCAATTTCCTAGCACCCAGAACTATGAAAAATATCCATCTTTCTACCCTAAAGTAAGAAACTCCTGGTTCTCCTACATCTCCCAGACGTTGTCTGTTATTTTACACAACAGAAAAATAAAGGTGACCTGAGTCACACGTGGGTGTGAAATTTTGGACGTGGGTCCAGAACAGACATCTAAGTGAGGCAGAGACTGTCAGGTGGTCACTGAACTTCCTCCTCTGGCCACAAGCGAGACTACATTTCCCAGCCCTCCCTGCAGCTCAGGAGGACCAAATGACTGAATCCTGGGGAATGAATGCAGGCAGTGATACACACCACTTCCAGCCTGGCTCCTAAACACCTCCTCTCTCTTCCTCTCTCTTTCCTTCGTCTGCCAGCTGAAGCAGAGGGTCCCAGTGGAGGACTCCGCGGTGCTGGAGGGAGACAGACCTGGGAACCGGAAGACCGCCTGGACAAAGCCGTCTCCCACCCCCTGCCCCCGGGGCCTCCAGGAGCCTGGGGGAGGAAGAAACGAGCTTTCCTGTGTCCAGTCATTGACGCTGGAGTTCTGTTTCAGCAATTACCCTACACTGACCAAAATGATCGCCAGAGTCCAGTCTAGAACATAGGTATCTGGAGACATGTTCGTAATTATCATCTCTCCTATGATGAATCCGGCTATATATTCACTTTACATAAGGATACACACATGATCACTAATCTGTAGGCCCCTCTTTCTACTCTGTCAGAAAGAAGTCCTGCATTCTTACGAGCATAAAACTGAAATGCATGATTCCCACTTGTGCCTCTGCTGTAAGGTTAGTCCTCATGGCACAGACATCAACCAGGCAGAGCTTGACAGCGCACTGGTAAAATGTACTCCAAACACTGGTCTCAGAACTATAAACCAAGGACCAGCAATCTGTTATCTCTGAGTCAAGACCGTCCTAATTAAACCTCCTAACACAAAGGTTAAATGCAGTGACTCATGGGATGAATTTAGCTCTCACACAGTTGATTGACTCACACAGCATTTAACATTTAAAGAGATTAATTCCCCCCAGAGAACCAAGTGTCCCCCGTAGAGAGCCGGGAAAGGCCACGGCATTGGGGGGAGGGGAGCCAAATGGGAAGAAATGAAAAAGTTATTTCCCCAATTTTCCAAATCGGGACAATTTCAACAAAGTTTCACCTGCAGGAACGGAGTGCTGGCGTCACTGGCCGCCTCCCTGCAGGGCCACATCGGACTAAGTAGCTGCTGGCTTCCCATGGTGACCGATGCTCTCCTTCCCCACAGCCCCCACCTCCGCTCGGGCACCTGCATCTGTGACCCCGCCACAGCCCATCGGCCAGGCCTGCCCTGGGCTAGTCCTGCCCAGCCCCCGCCCCGGGACACAGCTATTTCAGTAAAAGCGGCAATACTTACCGGATATCCAGGGAAAGGCGGGTAGCCCGTGGGGGGATAGCCTGGATAGGACATTCTGTAACGATAAAAAAAAATGTCCTCTGTAATTTCTTATAAAAGTTACGGCCTTTGAAGATATGTGTCATAGGATCTTATAAAAAATACACCTTCTTGCAAGAGTCATTCCAAACTGGATGGACACGGGGTTTGTAAAAGCAGAGCTGGTGACACGTTTCTGCATTTCACCGCTGGGACCAATGGGGTCAGGAGGCAGCGCAAACGGCCGACACCCTCCTCCGCAGGCGGCACGGATGCCACCAGTGCTACCGTATGATTGATGAACTTCTAAGCCGATTAACTTTCCACTCAAATCTACTTTTAAAGCTGCTATATTACTTCCATTCATGGAAAACGTGGGAAGAGTTGTGTGTGTTTTTGCCGCAAAGAGGAGGTAACAGCGCCCCTCGGAGGGCGCCTGCAGGAGGCGGGCCGTGGCGGTGCGGGGCTGCGGGTGACGGCCCACCAGCCGCTCTGCTCCTCCTCCCGCCGCCCCAGCGCCGCCGAGCCCGGCAGGGGGTCCGATGGGAACTCAGGCTCGCACTGTGCCAGGGTTCGGGGTTCGGGGAGAGTCGGCAGCGCCTCGGCGGCGGGGAGTGGGGACCCCGTGCTTCATACAGCTAACGGGATTTGCGGCAGAAGAAGACGTTACAGTTTCTTCCCCCTCCTCCCCCCCCCCCGCCGCCCCGCCGTCCTCACGGGGACCCAGGTGCAGCCCCAGATCCATGAAGGGTGTCATCCTGGGACCGGACCTGCATCACAGACCCAACCGAGCTCCCGGGCTGCTCCCCTCCGCCCCCCTCCGCCCCGTTTGGAAACACTTATGAAGCGCTGTCTGCATAGAGGCTCTGTGCCTCCTGGCCAGGGGGATGCATCTGGGTGGCCAAGCAAGTTCTCCTATTCAACGCCGTCCTCCCCGTCAGGCCCGTCCTCCTGAGAGGAGGGCTGTGTCCTGGCTAACTCTGCACTCAGCGGCCGCGCCTTCTCCCTCTGAAAATAATTGCCCGGTGATCCTTAAGCCCATGCAGCCAGGGAGAAAGTTTCAGGAAAGGGGCCATGCGCCAGCGGCCCAGAGCGCAGCGGATCCAGCAGACCGTACCTGCGACCTGTGTCTGTCTCAGGGGCTTGGCCTTGGCTTAGAAGACAAGGAGAGGTCAAATTCTCCTAGGGGTGTCGAACTCAATCAGAGAAGGGGCCAAAATCTAAAATCCAGCCTAAATCGCGGGCCGAATGGTTTACTGAACAGTCATAAACTGTCATTGTGATGGAAACGCAGCGGAGTGCAGTGATGACAGCGCGGTGCGGGCCACATTGCAAGGCCTGGCGGGACGGATTTGGCCCGCGGGCCTTGTGTTTGACACATGTGCTAGACGCTCCAGCCCTCTGTTTCCTTTGTGGTTAGAGATATCTGCATCTAAGTCAGCAGCTGCTCGCCGTTACCTGGCTTTCCCCTGTGGTTAAACGTTAGGCTATGAGGTGCTGGGTGTTTTATGAACAATAGAAAGGCCCCTTGACCCTTCACAGAGCCCTCAGGCCCCGGGGCAGGAAAAGGGATGTTTTCTTTGGCCAGTTCCCAGAAATTAGGGTCAGTTTCCGGATGCAGCAGGGGAGAAATCCCTAAGGAACAATCCTGCTGTGAGCCTTCAGCCGCAGGGCCAGGAGCAGGGGGCCGGGCCTGTTTACATTGTTCTCCGGTGTTTCTAGGAAAAAGCAGTGGAAGCTGCACCGGAGGAGAAAGGGTTTTGCTTTGTTTTGTTTTGTTTTGTTTTTACGAAGGGAAATGGTTTTCTCCCATGTGTATCTTGAACCGGGAGAAAAGGCAGCATAATGCCAAATGATTACTGGACGAAATCACTTTAAGATACCATTTTCTGCAACACTGGAGAATTTCACTCTTTTAAAAAATACTTATATGCTCAGCCGATGTGGCTCAGTGGTTGAGGGTTGACCTATGAACCAGGAGGTCACAATTCAATTTCTATGTGGATGTTTTGTATTTTTTTAATCCTTTGTTTAAGAGACCATCTTGATTAGGGCTGAGCCTCCATCCTAGGTCCTGTTCGAGATGCTGCTAGCAGGGCTCAAAGTTAAACCTGCTAGCCCAGTGGTCGGCAAACTCATCAGTCCACAGAGTCAAACATCAACAGCACAACGATTGAAACTTCTTTTGAGAGCCAAATTTTTTAAGCTTAAACTTCTTCTAACGCCACTTCTTCAAAATAGACTCGCCCAGGCCGTGGTATTTTGTGGAAGAGCCACACTCAGGGGGCCAAAGAGCAGCATGTGGCTCGTGAGCCACAGTTTGCCGACCACTGTGCTAGAGTTTGGTAATAAAAGGTTGTTGAAGTTTAGAGAGAGAGAGAGAGAGAGAGAGAGAGAGAGAGAGAGAGAGAGAGAGAGAGAAGGTAACATTTGAGAGGAATATATAAATATTAAAATAATTCCCACATGCCACAGTAATCCTTTTATGTAGTGATAAAACCATATTCTATGAAACAGTGTTAAAATGGCTGAGTCAACATATATACCTGGATTAAACCCTGCCTTCACTTTTATAAACTGATTTTAGAAAACTTCAAACTTATTAAAAAATAAAAGTAATATATAAGAAACCCCACAGCCCTGGCCAGTTTGGCTCAGTGGATAGAGCATCGGCCTGCAGACTGAAGAATCCCAGGTTCGAGTCCCGGTCAGGGCACATGTCTGGGTTGCAGGTTTGATCCCCCGTAGGGGTCATGCTCAAGGCAGCTGATCAATGATTCTCTCTCAACGATATTTCTCTCTCTTCCTCTCCCTGCCTCTGTGAAATCAATAAAAATATATTTAAAAAAAGAAAAAGTTAAGCATAGAGCTACCATATGACCTAGCAATTCCACTTCTTAGTATACTCAAGAGAACTGAATACATTCATATAAAAACTTACATTCATGAATTTATACATGAATGTCCATAGCAGCATTATTCATAATAGCCAAAAAAAGTGGAAACCAGTCAAATGCCCATCAATAATGAGGGAAGGAGCAAAATGTGTTATATCTATACAACGGGATATTATTCAGCCATATAAAGGAATAAAATACTAATACATGCTACAATATGAATGACCTGATGCAGAGTTGATGCTTAATAAATGACTTTTTAAATTTTTTAAAATTTTTGTGAGTTTATTTGAGCCAAACTTTTGACTTACGCCGGGAAGCAGAACCTCAATGAATTAAGATAATGCTCCGGAGAATGGCGGGTTACCTCAGTATCTGGGTGCAGGAACAATTAACATGATAATGACGGAATTTGTGGTATATGTCCTGGTGCCCAGGCACACCAAGGTTGTGCCCTGAGGCATCCAGAAAAAAGGAAGTTACACATTACCCAGACATTTCAAGGGTATGTTATTATAGAAGCAAAAAGGCAGACAGGCTCAGTTAAGGAAAAGGTTGACCTTGTCAGTGAAGATAAAAAGACAGGAGCTAATTAGGAGGGTTTTGTGTGCAATTAAATACTCATTTCCCACCAGATCACTCTTAATATCCCGTATCTGTCAATAGCACCACTACTTAAATTACCTATTACTCCAGTATAGTAAGTAATGTGATACTATTTTTCTCTTCTTTGAAATGCCTCTCCTATTCTTCCAGTCATTTCTATTCTTATGGCCATTTCCTTACATCAGGTTTTCATTGTTTGATGCCTATTTTACTAAAATTACTTCATTTATGTCGTTTATACTCTCACACTTCGTTTTCCTGGACATCATCACCAGGTGAACGTTCCTAAAATGCTGCTCTGTCCACGAGTTACTTTTCAGGTTAAAACTCAGTGACTACTACTGCTGGAGTATCGAATGACAATTCATTAGCCCAACAGTCAGATCTCCTACTACTGGTTCCAATTTATCTACTCAGCTTATCTTTACCAACACCTCACTCCCCATGCGAAATCTCTACCACCTGGACCATTCTCAACACGTCTCTGCTTAAACCACTGTTATCTGTAACTGACCTGGCCTTCAGGCCTGAGCGCACTCACCTCTCCTCACGCAGCCAGCTCAATCAGATCTTTCCTCCTTTCTTTGAACAATGTACTGGATAAAACAGTATTTCTGCCGAAACTGGTTTGGCTCAGTGGTAGGGTGTCGGTCTGCGGACTTAAAGGTCCCAGGTTCGATTCCGGTCAAGGGCATGTACATTAGTTGGGGGCACATCCCTGGTAAGGGGTGTGCAAGAGGCAGCTGGTCGATGTTTCTCTCTCATCGATGTTTCTAGCTCTCTATCCCTCTCTCCTCCTCTCTGTAAAAAATCAATAAAATATATTTAAAAAAAAAACAGTACTTCTTTAAAATGTTAAAATGCAGACTCTGATTCGGTAATTTTGAGATGGAGCCTGAGATTCTGCATTTCTAACTAAGCTTCCAGATTCTGCTTCTGGTGGTCTGTGAGTCATATTTTGGTACTAGAATATTTTGACATTTCCAGATCTACCATCTAATTTGCTAATTTTTTCAATATGTGTTTTGGCTCTTCTCCCTGATATGGCTGTAAAGGATTTGTACTATTTTTATATAAAGACCCCCAAACAAATCCAAATCAACATTTATAAAAACCCACAATGTAATATGCACTGTCCTAGGTGCTGATAAAGATGGGGAGAAGGTATCATGCCTTTTAAGTACACAAAATAGGAAAATGAGGTAATAAATTTAAGTAATTATAGTGTCTCTTATGACATAAACACATGATAGAAGCTGAAAACAAACTTGCTAAATTTTGAATGAATGGACATATACTGAATCAAAGTTATCCTATATAATAAAAACCTAATATGCTAATTGTCTGTTCATCCAGTTGTCCATTCAACCAATGAAAGCGTGATATGCTAATGATATGCTAAGGCCACTCAACCTCTCCCTATGACGTGCACTGACCATCCAGGGGCAGACAATTGACTGGCTGACCAGTCACTATGACATGCATTGACCACCAGGGGGCAGATGCTTAATGTAGGAGCTGCCCCCTGGTGGTCAGTGCAACTTTCACAGGGGAGCACTATTCAGTCAGTGCAACTCCCACAGGGGGAGCACCACTCAACATGGCAGCACAAAGGATGTCCGACTGCTGTGGGGATCGGGCCTGAGCCAGCAGTCGGACATCCCCTGAGGGCTCCTGGACGATGAGAGGGCACAGGCTGGGCTGGGGGACACTCCCAAGTGGATGGATTTCGTGCACCAGGCCTCTAGTAAGTTAATAAGGAAGATGGTAAAATATTAAGGAAACTGATTCAGTTCTTAAAATAGCTGTTTGTATACAAAGGCCTGGATGTAAAAACAGGGACAAACTAAAATGTTTTTGGCTCTCTCCTTCTCTAAGCCTGGGGGTATAAGGAGCAAAGGGACACTATCTAACAACAGTCAGATAGACCAGTGGTTGGCAAACTCATTAGTCAACAGAGCCAAATATCAAAAGTACACGACTGAAATTTCTTTTGAGAGCCAAATTTTTTAAACTTCTAATGCCACTTCAAAATAGACTCGCCCAGGCCGTGGCATTTTGTGGAAGAGCCACACTCAAGGAGCCAAAGAGCCACATGTGGCTCGCAGTTTGCCAAACATGGGGACAGACCATTTGAAAATAAGTTATGAAAGAGATACATGACATTTTTAAGGCAACAAGTAGTTACCATACCAAAGACTACAAAAAGCAATTAAATTTCTAAATCCCAGAAATAGTTCCAGTGACAAAGTCCTATTTTTGCATTTCTTAAACCTTCCCTTTAAAGGGCTAGAGGAATTATGTCAACAAGAATTTAAAACCAGAATGAACATAAAGACTATCTGCATATGAGAAAACTTAATGCAGTTTTTAAGAAAGTGAATCTGGTTACATTTTGAAAAAAAATGTAAGTACATAAAGAACTAGAACACAATTCCATTTCCAAAAGATGTATCTTATAGAAATATTTGCACAAATACATCACATATATGTACAAGACTATTAATTACAACACTATTTGCAATAGAAAAAAAGTTAAAAATAATCTAAAAGTTCATCAATAAGCGACAGGTGGAATAGATTATGGATAGCCGTACAATGAAGTGCTATGCAGCTACTGAAGTGAGCAGCTCTTTTTTCTTCTTGTACGTTAATTATCTCTAAGTCCTATCATGAGGGTGTGGAAAAAATACATGTACTTCCTTGGACACGTAGAGAATACCCTGAAAGTCCCCTCAAGGAAGCAGAAAGCCAGTGGCTGCCTCCAGGAAGGAGAGTTGGGGCATCGTGTACCTTTAACGCTGTTGGAATTGGCCAAGTATCATCGATTCTAATTTCAAAAGCTGTGTATAAAGCTTACACACACCCCAGGGTGACTCAACAAAATTACTCAACTTTGCCCAAAGCATAATGCTGGTGAACCAGAGCTTTTCTTTTTAACATTCTCCCTTGGAAACTACAGTTAAAGGCTAGAAAATCTTGGTTCTCCAAACCATCTCCGCCCAGTGAGTCAGCAGCTGAAAGCCCATGGGCGTGTCAGGTGGCGCGGTGCCCAGGAGCACAGAGGCAGCTGCTGGGAGTTTGGGAAACAAATAAATAGGAAAAGGAAGAACGATATGGCCGAGAGCAGATACCATTTCCTAAACCTGCCTCTGGGCTGGGAAGGGCCATGTACATCCCTCAGCAAGGGCCACGGGATACAGAACGGGGGGCACGGCTGGCTTCTGCAGGACAGGCGGGCAATGGGCACGGACAGGCGGGCAATGGGCACGGACAGGCGGGCAATGGGCAGCGATGGGCACGGACAGGCGGGCGATGGGCACGGACAGACGGGCCGTGGGCACGGCAGTGGGCACAGACAGGCGGGCGATGGGCACGGACAGGCGGGCAGTGGGCACGGCAGTGGGCACGGACAGGCGGGCCATGGGCGCGGACAGGGAGGCGATGGGCACGGACAGGCGGGCCGTGGGCACGGACAGGCGGGCGATGGGCACGGACAGGCGGGCCATGGGCGCGGACAGGGAGGCGATGGGCACGGACAGGCGGGCCGTGGGCACGGACAGGCGGGCGATGGGCACGGACAGGGAGGCGATGGGCACGGACAGGCGGGCGATGGGCACGGACGGACGGACCGGCTGGGGCGCGAGAAGGGGCTCCCGCTGGCGGGGCGGTCGGAGGGAGCTCCCCGCCTCCCGGTCTGGAAGCCCCGCTCCGGCCGGCGGCGCTCACCCGCTCACCCCCGGGCCAGAGCCCGTGTCCCCGGCGCCTCCGCGGGCAGCGCCGGCGGCGGGTGACTCCCCTCCCTCCGGCCACCGGGGCGGACCGGCCACCCCTCCCGCGGCGTTCGCCGGGGCCGGGCCGGGTCAGCAGCACGGGTTCGGGGCCGCTCCCGGGACAGGCACCGGGTCCGGAGGGACAGACACGGGCCGGGGACAGACACGCAGTCTCCAGCCCCCAGACCGGAGCCGGGCGCAGGGCGCAAGGCCGGCGGCCGGTCACTCCAGCGCCCACTTCCCGTTCCCGGATCCGCTGTGTCACCGGGAACTTCGTCACCGGCCCCGCTCGGCCCCCGCCCGCCGCCCCGCACCTGCCCCGGCCCCCGGCCCCCCCACCCCCGCCGCCCCGCACCTGCCCCGGCCTCCGCACGGCCGGCGGGGCTCCCCCTCCCACCCCCGCCGGGAGGCCGCCCCCCCCGGAGAGCCCGCCGCAGCTCCGGGGGCGCCACCCCGAGGCCCGCCTCCCGGAGCCCCGGCCCCCGCAGCGCCCCGGGCGCGGGCCCGTCTCCCCCTGCGCGGCGCGGCCCGACGGCCGGGGCGGGGGCGGGGGCGGGGGAGCGGAGGGGGCGGCCGGGCCGGGGGCCCGGGGGTCGCTCCTCACCTGACACCGGAGCAGCGTCACAGCGCGACCAGCAAGATGGAGCCGGGGCGGGGCGGGCGGGCCGGGCAGCGCCGCCGGGAACGCCCCTGGGCGGGGCCCGCGGGGGGGGGGGTCCCCGGCCCCGACTCTCCCGCCCCGGCCCGCCACCTGCGGGAGGGCTTTCCCTCCCTCCTTCCCTCCCTCCAACCGGAGACCAGTTTCTCCGCTTTTCCCCGCCCGCCCGCCCGCCGGGCTCCGGAGGTCCCGGGGAGTTTCCGTGGTTTGGGGGGACCCCGAGCCCCTCAATGTGGGGGGCGGGCCAGGCAGGGACCAGGCCCGTGTGGTTACTTGTGCTCTGAAATGTTTGTTCCTAGAGCGGGGACCCCCAGACCGGAAGGGTTGTTGGGGTTGCTAGGCTCCCCGTGTACTAGATGGAGCACAGTCATCACACACACACACACACACACACACACACACACACACACACACACACACACACATACACACAGATACACACACACACACACACGTGTGCAGGAAACGGGGCCACATGCTAACCTGGCAAGCTCAGGGAAGGCCTGATTGGGGCCTTGCAAACTCAAGACCTAAAGTAACCACAAAGGGTGGTCTGAAGTTAAAACGTTAGCTGGTGTTGCTCAGTGGATAGAGCACCCACCTACGGACCGAAGGGACCCGGGTTTGATTGAGGCCAAGGGCACAAGCCAGGTTTGCGGGCTCGGTCCCCAGAAGGGGTGTGTGTGTGTGTGTGTGTGTGTGTGTGTGTGTGTGTGTATAGGAGACAGCCAATTAATGATTCTCTCCATTATTGATGTTTCTCTCCCTCTCCCTTCCTGTCTGAAATCAATTTAAAAATTTGTTTTTATCTTTTATTAAAAAGCAGTCTATGGTGGGTAGTCATGTCCTAGGTCAGCATCTTCCCAAAGACCATTTTCGATCTTTACTGAGCCTGTTGTCTATTTGCATCTGAGGTAACTGTACCTGTGGGATGTCAGGGTAACTTGAGAAACTTCCCTTTGTCTGGACTCCAGGGCACAGCCAATGGGGCGGAGACCACTACTTCTCTGATTTTATTATCTGTTCATCCGTGGACTGTTAACTCACCTGTACTCACCGGTGTCTGCCGCTGGATAGAGCATCCGCCTGCGGACTGAAGGGTCCCGGTTCGAAGCATATGTCTATCATTTTACTTTTTATCTGATCACAGAGGTTCCCCCACCCCAACCCCGCTTTGCTTTCTCCCACCTCTCTATCACCAATGGATGCCTTGTAACTCCTCCTTTGACTGTAAAGTATAAAACAAGGCAAGAAACCACCATTCCGGAGCATTATCTTAATTCCTTGAAATTCTTTCAGGCAATTGTCAACAGTTTGGCTCAAACTCACAAAAATTATTCACAGGTTTCTTAAGTTTACACTAGCATTAAACATTTGAGGCAATTCCTAGGCCCAGACCAGTGTCTTCAGCTCACTGAGAGAGTTCGTATTGCACAGCAGGAACCAGTCCGTCACCCTCACAGTGGCCCTCAGGTGTGGTCCCAGACTGGCAATGTCACTTGGGAACGTGACAGAAATGCAAATTATTGGATTTCACCTTAGATCTACCTAATCAAACTCTAGGGGTGGAACCCAGCAATCCGTTGGTGTTTTTGTTTTTTAGTTTATGGATTGGTTTTAGAGAAATAGCTATTTGTTTTTCCACTTATGCATTCATTGGTTGATTCTTGTATGTGTCCCGACTGGGATCAAACCCACAACCTTGGTGTATAAGGATCGTGTTCTAACCAACTGAACTACCCAGCCAGGGCCCAGCACTCTGTTTTGTTTTTTTCAGGGTTGTTTGTAGTTTCCTCTCTCCTCTCTCTCTCTCTCTCCTCTCTCTCTCTCTCTCTCTCTCTCTCTCTCTCTCTCTCTCTATTAATGTTAAAGAGAGAAAGAAAAATATCAATGTGAGAGAGAAACATCAACTGGTTGCCTCCCACACTCACCCCAACTGGGGTTTGACCCACACCTTGGGTATGTGCCCTGCCTGGGGATCGAACCAGCGACCTTTCAGTGCAGGGGACAGTGCTCAACCGAGCCACCCAGCCAGGGCCCAGCACTCTGTTTTAACAAGCCCTCCTGGTGGCTGATGCACACTGGCGTTTGAAAACCACCATCCTATTACTCCACATGCTTCTCTACCTGAAAGCTTCCTCAGGGGAGTGGGCCAGGGAAGGTTAGGATTGTAAGTGGGGCATGCTCTCCCTGCAGGGGGCACACCAGAGCCTCCTCCTTCCCCCACTCTCCTTCCTCCCCCCTTTAGGCACATCACCTCTGCCTCTCTCTCCTACGTCCCAAGGGCCCTTCTCCTACTTGTGGAACTTCCTAAATAAACTTTCTCTTATAATTTGGGGGGAAACTGTTGTTTTGTTTTGTTTTAAGTGGAAAGAGCAAGATATACGTGTCCCCAAAAGAGGAGTGACGTGAAAGGCACTTGAGGAAAGTCACTGTCAAATTTAAATAAACTGCTTCACACTTTGGGTCCCCAGCATTTTTCTTCGGATCCTGCCAGTCTGCTTATCTGGCAAATAGCGGGCTTCCTGTCCAACCTGCTCCAGAGCCTCCAGGATGTGAGCACTCCTTAAGAAGCCTGTCTTTGCCCATCTTCCATCGGCACTATTCCCCTGGTGATCTCATCCCCACTCCTCCCTCTGCCTTAACTGTCACCGTAAGAGAATATTTCCCATAATGAACAACATAAACTGACGAACAGAAACAGACCTGGAGGCAGGGAAGCATCGATCAGACTGTCGGGCCTCAGAGGGAAGGTAGGGGAGTGAGGGAAAATGGGGAGAGATCAACCAAAGGACTTGTGTGCATGCATATAAGCCTAACCAGTGGTCACAGACAAGATGGGGGAGTGGGGGGATATGTGGGGAGGGGTTTGGGATGGGAATGGGGGGATGAGGCGAATTATGTGATACCATAATCAATAAAGAAATTTAAAAAGAGAGAATATTTCCCAAACATCTTCTTTCCAGCCCACTCCCCTGAGCTATAGGCCAAATATCCAACAGCCTGTTCAGACACGCCCTCTAGGTTTCCCACTCCACCTTTCAATTCCCCCTTCTTCCTTTCCTCCTGCTTTCTCTGCCTAGAAAGCATGGCCTGCCTTTGAACAACTATTCATCTACTAAGACAATTCAAAGACTGTCCACCTCCTTCCTGCTTCAAAAAGCGTTTCCGGGCCTCCTCCTGCCGTCCCTTCCCTTCCCCGGGGAGGCGTGGTTCCTCCCCTTTTGCACCAAATAGACTTTTACAGGTGTCTACTATGGCCCCACTTACCTGCTGTACTCAACCACATAAACTTCGCAGAAACAAAACACAACAGCTCTGAAGATCGCCATCCGTTCCAGAATTCACGTGAAATAGGAGCCATTATGCTCCTCACAATGGAGCATTCCATCGGATCAGAGTCTACTTTCTGTCCGGTGAGAGCGGTGCTTGTGTCCCCCAGGGTGCATGTCACAGAGCATGAAGATACTTTTGGTTGTCACAACTGGAGTGGGGAGGTATTACTGATATCAAATGGGCCAGGGATGTTACTAAGTATTCTACAATACCCTGGATAGCCCCCTACAACAAATAATTTTTCAACCCAAACTCTGAATAATGCTGAGGTTAATAACCCTGCATACTCTAAAAGATAAATTGGGTCAGATTATCCCCTTGATTAAACTCCTCCATAGCTTGCCACTGGAACTGGCATAAAACCCACTTTCCTGGCCATGGACTAGTAGTTCCCCTGTCCTCTGGCCCCTGCCTACTTCTCTGGCCTCCTCCCTCTTCAACTTCGCTCTCACTCATTAAGTCTGGTCAAACCCGTCTTCCAAACAAAACAGAGATTCTCTGGATCTCCACCCTTGCTATTGCTACTACTGGGAATGTTCTTCAGTCTATGTATCATCTCAGACGTTATCCATCTCTTCACAGAGGTAGACATTCCCTAAGCATTCTAACATTAGTAGCCACTATTGCCATCACCACCACCTTTTACATGATAGGTACTAACTAAATACTTGGAATGAATAAATGAATTCTGACATTACCCTATCAAAGCAGGCAATAAGAATGCATAGGTGTGTGTTAGGGCTAGGGGTGGGGTGTTGAGGTCCTGGCAAGGTTGTAGGAATGAATATCTGGGGAATATCCGAATCCTGGGAATGTGATGAAAGAAGGAAGACATGCCTAGCTGGTATGGCTCAGTGGTTGAGCATCAACCTATGAACCAGGAGTTCATGGTTTGATGCCTGGTCAGGGCACATTCCCTGGTTACAGGCTCAGTCTCCAGTGTGGGGCATGCAGGAGGCAGCCTATCAATGATTCTCATCACTGATGTTTCTATCTCCCTCTCCCTCTCCCTTCCTCTCTAAAATAAATAAAAATGTATTAAAAAAAAAAAAAAGAAGAAGAAGAAGAAGAAGAAGAAGAAGGAAGACATGAAACTGGGTGTGGTAGATGGGCAGGCCTGAACAGGGAGCTGATGTTAATCACTCTTTTGACAAGAGAGAACTCTCCAATTGTGAGCTGGTGAGTGTGTGTAGACAAGTAATACTTGCCAGTGAGTATGAAATAAGATAAAAACAAGTGACTTGAAAAGCCCCAAACTGAGTTTATTGTGGTATAGGCCAGGTGAGAACAAATACGTGAAGTATATTTAAGTAAAGTCTAATATAACTGGAATATCTAAAATATAATGCCAGGGCAAAAAACTGCTTGCTCTAGGCTTAAAAATCCCCAACAGAAAATACAAACATGAGATACTTATCTTGAAAATGCCAAGAAATAGGACACTATGCCAATCCTCACAACCTCCCAACCACTTCTCTGACTTGCCCATTCTTGCACCACCTCAAGTCATTAACACCTCTCCATTTTTTAACACCTCTCCAAATTACTGGATAAGAAGTCTTTCAAAAGAAGGTGCCATGCTTCTCCTTGGTGCCATCTGGTTCAAGTCAAACAGGGTAACTTTTGCACAAAGGAAACTATTAGGCCTCTCGGTTCTGGAAAGACTGACACCAGGGCCCCTTGCCACTCACCAAATCTAGAATCCTGACTCTAGACGCTACTTGTGGCTAACCTCTCAGAAATGAGTCACATCATACAGGAGTTCCCATGCTGCTTAGATGCTTTACCTGGACGATGGGGTTTCAAAGTTGCCAATAAACTGGCTTCAATCAGCAGGGTAATTTTACCATCCTCCCCCTTTTCTAGGTATCCGGTGAGAATCTGGCTCTGCTATTTAATCCTCACCATCTAGTTTCTCTTCCAACTGCCTCTTATCCAGCTGGCAGGAGCTTCCGAGAAACGTGATATAGTAGGCGCTGCAGTACACTGGCTGCTTGTTGGGGTTGGAATAGACCTGCTCGGGTTTGAGGGACGTGAAGGGGTTGGCTCCATAGGCGATGATGTGCGCATCCAGCTCCACCAGAATCTGCAGAGAGGCTGCCAACTCCTGGTGGCTGAGGGAGACAAAAGAAAAATTGCTCTGATGATAAGAGAGATAGGAGAGAAAGTGCTCATAACGTGACATTTCTGGACTCATCAAGCCCCCAAATTCCCCGAGGCTGGACCACGCAAAGGCTAGCCTTCCCTCCCAGATGTCTCGCTAATTACCAACTTACTACCACAGGCCTTTGTTCCAAGGGGACGGGAAAGCCAAGTGTGAGAAGAAAGGAAATCCTCACCAGAAGGCAGAAGGTGAGCAAGGGAGAGGGAGATGAGCTCATCTGTATAAATAGAGGCCTGAGTGAGGCAGGGCGCTGTCTCAGATAGGAAGAGGTCCAAACCTGTAAACAGTGATCAGTGCAGGGATTTCATAGTCGCGAAGCAGCAGAAGGGTGGGCAGCCAAGCCTCCATCAAGTCGGGGGAAGCGTGGAAACCTAGGGAACAGAGAGGGGAACAGCTGAGGTAGACCCTAAGCCAGATACTTCTCAGACTGCGTCCATCCCAACCTTCACATTCTCACGGCCAAGGCTCATTTACCACTACCACCCGGCCCAGGTTCTTGGGTGGAAAATTCTGAACCCAGGTGCAGCACATAAGGCTAATGACCAACGTCATCATCCTATTGTGTTTAACCTGGCCTAGTGAACGTGGCTCCAAAGTTAGAAAATACAAAAGTCAGAAGATTCAACACCCAGAGAACCCACCCGGGATGCCCCGGAATCCGTCTTACCTGGATGGAACGCCACCACCAGGTCTGGACGGGCCGTCCGCCCAGTCTCCACCTGCTCCTCCCAGAAGTGATGGTAGAGGCCCCTGTGGCCACTCAGCTGCACTCTGCCAGCTTTCACAGGCGACGCTGGGGTGCTCTGTGAAAAGCCGGTAGCGACGTCGACACCCACCATGATTACGTGGAGGCCACGGTGTCCAGGAAACATGTAGCCAAGCTCATCGTACTCCCCGGGGCGAGTGAGGAAGGTCTCCACGTGGGAAGCACCAACGACGTGCACCGCGCTCCCTCCGGCCTTCCTCACGTTCACCCCCAAGGCCCGGAGCCCGAAGCCCACGGTCAAAGGCCGCGACAGGACATCTGTCAGGAGTCGCTTCAGAGAGCCCTGCAGGACATCGGGGTCCGGCCTTGGCCTTCCTGCGCTGGCCCACAGCGAGGTCATGGCATGGCTACCCAGCACAGCCTCCAGCGTAGCATCCAGCTGCGGGCGTCGCATGGAAAACCAGGTGTCCCAGCCCTGGACCGCTTCAGCCAGCCACGGCCAGGGTCCCGGGGGTGGGACAAAATCTCCTGCAGGAAACAAGGAGCAACAAAGAAGGAACCTAATTCTTCTCCGGCTTCAATGTTCCTTCTAAGGTTCATTCTCCCATTCTGTGACTAGGAAGGCCTCCCTGCCCTGCCACTCTCCATTCTTCATTTCCCCCTCACATCAACACACTTTCATCTCTCTCTCTCTAAGAACAACAAACGCTGACCATGATGGCAGAGTTCCCCAACACCACCACTCCACCTGTGACCAGAAGCCACTCCATGAGACGGTCCACGGCCACGAGACGCAGCTCTTGGCAAACCCTCCTGTGCGCTGGCCAGTCTGACCTCTGGCACTCCGGACCACAGTAATAGACATTTCTGCACCTGAGGGAAGAAGCCCCAGAAATATTTGTTCCTATATTTCAAAGGTGATTGGGAGACTATCTGGGGAAGAGAATTGGTATTCCTCTTCTTTTAAAAAAATTTTATTTTATTTATTTTTTTTACAGAGAGGAAGGGAGAGGGATAGAGTTAGAAACATCGATGAGAGAGAATCATTGATCAGCTGCTTCTTGCACACCCCCACTGGGGATGCACCCGCCACCAAGGTACATGCCCTTGACCAGAATCAAACCTGGGACCTTTCAGTCCACAGGCCGATGCTCTATCCACTGAGCCAAACCGGTTTCAGTGATATTCCTGTTCTTAGGAAGAAAGATTACTTGGTGAGGAAGGAAGGGAGAGGAATGACAGCTATTTGCAACCACATTTGGGGACTAAGTTAGAAGGGGAGGCAGGAGAGACTGGGAATGTAGTTTTTCTCTTGGGTCTGAGTAACACCTCAGTGTCTATCTGCAACAACTCACTTCTTACATCCCTTAAAGCACATGTATCAAACACAAGGCCCGCGGGCCAAATCCGTCCCGCCAGGCCTTGCAATGTGGCCCGCACCACGCTGTTATCACTGCACTCCGCTGCGTTTCCATCACAATGACAGTTTATGACTGTTCAGTAAACCATTCGGCCCGCGATTTAGGCTGGATTTTAGATTTTGGCCCCTTCTCTGATTGAGTTCGACACCCCTACCTTAAAGGAAAAGTAACTCCGGGAGTTTGTGGCTGCCCTCTTACCATGTGTAGGTCTCAGCCCTCAGCTCCCCAGAACAGATTAGGGTCGTACCCGTGAGTACTCCAGAGGAGGAGGAAGAACAGTACTGTGGCCTCCGTCTGACTCCCCCACAGCGCGGGGAGAAGCAGGAGCTCAACCCTTCTCTAATCTGCCTGTGGCCTGGATCACGTAAAATGAGGAGTAGGCCTTACGTTTTTTGTGAAAACGCTGACCTTTCCTCCTACAGTGAGGTCTTAGAACAGGGTCATTTCTGGGTCTCTCTCCTATTAGCCTGACCAGTCACCTCTTGCAGTGCCGGAGGACCTTGGAGTCTGAAAGGCCACTGGGGAGTGCTCTGCAGTGAGCACAGAATCGGAATGTGTCCTCCATCTTCTGGAACATTTCTCGAAGGCATCGAAATCCAAAGCCTGATACAGGCTTATCCCCATCGATCACCAACCTGCAGTGACAGCATGAAAAGGTGCAGCAATGGGAAAAAGGGTATTTCCAAAGTCTCTCCTGACTGCTCCCTTGCCTCCTGTATACAGAAGATATATACTGTATTTCTACCTACTCCCATTTTTTGACTTAATTATATAATATATATATTTTAATATGCACTTTTATTTTTTTTATTGGCTTTTATTGAGAGAGGAAGGGAAAGTGAGAGAGACAGAGAAAGAAACATCGATGTGAGAGAAACATCGATTGGCTGCCTCCTGCACATGCCCTGAGCAGGGATTGAAATCTGGGTATGTTCCATGACTGGGAATTGAACCTGTCACTTTTTGGTGTATGGGACAATGCTCCAACGAAATGAGCCACACCAGCCATAGTGTAAATTATATATTTTTAATTTCTATAGTAATGAACTGGCAAAAGTCAGGATGAGAAAAATCCCTTTTTGCAAATGCTTCATTATTCCCAAGTTATACTCCCTCTCCACCTTCTAAAATCATTTCTAAGAGAGACTCCATATCACTTTTCCACAGAGCTAGTTACTCACTTGTACTCTTCGTAGCTTTTCATGTTCAGCTTCTGCAGAATCAGCTGGGATAGGCCAGGAACATTATTGTCCAAGTAGTAGAAGCCAAGTGCATCAATGCTGGGGCCAGGTTTTGAGCGGGTCAGAGGCACAGGGGTCACAGTTGTAGGCTGGGTCACAGCTGCGGGAGGGGTCACAGCTGTGGGAGGGGTCACAGCTGCGGGAGCCACCGATGAGGAAGATTTCTTGTGCCTTCGTCGCCGGGGCCGTGGAGCCATGGCCTGTCCACTGATACCTGGGGGACTATATGTAGACAAGATATAGGATGGAATTTTGCAAGCTGGATACATATGATGTGTTTTCATATGTTTGACCTTTCACTTCTCATTGTAGTCTTTCAGACCTAGGTATCAGTAAGATTTATTTCTGACCTACTGATTACTGATCACTACAAAGAAATACAAAGGGGGGAAATATTACATATGAGGTTCTATTGATATATCTATATATATATATAAAAGCCTAAGAGACCAAACAACTGAACAACTGGTCAACTGGTCGCTATGACGTGCACTGACCACCAGGGGACAGATGCTCAATGCACAGGATCAGGCTCCCTCCTGTCTGAACCAGGCCTGCTGGAATTTGGCTCCCTCCTATCTGAATCGGGGCAGTGGGGAGAGGGCTGAAACCAGCTATCCAACCTCCCCCGAGGGGTTCTGGCTTGCCAGAGGACACAGGGCCTCTAATCTATATATAAAAGCCTAAGTAACTGTACATCCATTCGACCATTCGACTGGTAGCTATGATGCACACTGACACGCCTTCCCTCTCAGATGTCTCGCTAATTACCAGCTTGGAAACATGGAACAGACTGATGAATCTGGCCAAAACTGGCAGTCCAACATCCCCCGAGGGGTCCCGGATTGGGAGAGGGAGCACCTCTAGTAAAATATAAATATGTCTGTAAGTAATGCATAGAAAAAGGTCTGGCAGGGCTCCTCTCAAACCAGTAACTAATTAACTGAGGGGAAGAGGCACTAGGATAGGCAACTTTATACTTAAAGGCAACTTTTGAATTTTTATACAAAAAAAACCCACTATAATAATAAAAGTATAATATGCTAATTAGACTGGACATCCTTCCAGACAAAGCCGGAGCTGCAAGGGAAGCCTGAGTCCTGGTGCCTGCTGATGGCCAGAGGGAAGCCTGGGTCCCGGGTGCCAGAGGGAAGGAAGGCCTACCCTTGTATCGGGCCTCTGGTATTCATATATTAGTATATTTTTTTAAAAATCAACTAAAAAGAGAAAAAAAAGCAACATAAGTTTGGGCTGTCTCAAACTACCATCTAATTGAATAACTCAATCTAATTTAGTTGGAAAAGTAAAACATTCATTTTAAAAGGCCTATCATCACATTTATAGGCAATAAATCAAGATGTAAAAATTAAGTGAGCACCAGAATGCTAAGAGTTGCATAGTCAACGCAAGCCATGCAAATTATGAGAAAATTTTCTTAAAGAGGTGCGTTTGTATTTTTTTTATAATATATTTTTATTGATTTCAGAGAGGAATGGATAGGGAGAGAGAGAAACAGCAATGATGAGAGAAAACCATTGATCAGCTGCTTCCTGCACGCCCCCTACTGGGGATTGAGTTTGCAACCAGGGCATGTGCCCTTACCAGGAATCAAAACTGTGAACTCCAGGTTCATATGTCAATGCTTACCCTCCTGGCCGCACTAGCCAGGCGAGACAAATTTCTTTTACGTAGGTGGGTACAGAACCATTAATAATTAATATTTACAGTATGTAGAGATGGCATTCAGGAAAGTGAGGAAATGATGGGTTCTCTGGTCGCCTGCTCTGGTGAGGTGGGGGTGCCCTCGGGGGTCTGGAAAAGACCATGACTCTGACATTTCAGAGGGGTGTTAGTTTAGATGCAAAAAGACAACAGACAGGCTCACTTTGTTAAGGAAGACTGACCTTTGTCAAGGAAGCTATAGGTCTAGGACACACCTACCAGCATAACCCACTGTTTTTATGTCCAGACCATCCTATGTGGTTACTTTTGGTCTGAGTTTGTAAAGCCCACCATACTGTTCTCTCCTAAGTTTGCCACGTTTGATACGTGGCACCTTTTCCATCCACACTAATTAGGAAAATGCAAATCAAAACCACGAGATACCACTTCACACCCTTTAGGATGACTATTAGAAAGAAAACCACAGGAAATAGCGAGTGTTGGTGAGGTGTGGAAAAATTGGAACATCAGTGCACTGAATGCAAAATAGTGCAGCCACTATGGAAAAAGTTACACACATAATTACTATATGACCCAGCAATATCACTCTTAGTGTATACCTCAAATAATTGGAAACAGGTAGTTAAGCAATGCTTATACACAGGACCAGTATTCACAATATCCCAAAAGTATAAAACCCCAAAAGTCCACCAACAGATGAATGAATAATGTGGGGATAAAAAGGGAGAGAGGGTTCTATGGAAAGTAACCTCACAGGGTGATCTGGTCATAAATTCCTAACTGGGTAGGTTACTCCCCAGATATATAACTTTTTAGCAAAAGAGTTATCTTTGCCTTACCCAGTTGGTGTGGCTCAGTGGTTAAGTGCCAACCTATGAACCAGGAGGTCACTGTTCAATTCCAGTCAGGGCATATGCCTGGGTTGCAAGCTCAATCCCTAGGGTGGGGGTGGGGGGAGGGGGAGAGTGATCGTGGGGGCATGCTGATCAGTGATTCTCTCTTCTCATTAATGCTTATATCTCTCCTTCTCCCTTCCTCTCAGAAATCAAATTTTAAAAAACCTATTTTTAAAAAAGGATTTATCTTTGCCTTAAGAAAGCTCTGTCCATTGTTTCTTTTTTAAAACTATATATATTTTATTGATTTTTTACAGAGAGGAAGGAAGAGGGATAGAGAGTTAGAAACATGGATCAGCTGCCTCCTGCACACCCCCTACCGGGGATGTGCCCGCAACCAATGTACATGCCCTTGACTGGAATCGAACCTGGGACCCTTCAGTCCATAGGCCAACACTCTATCCACTGAGCCAAACCAGTCAGGGCTGTCCATTGTTTCTATGCATCTAGGTTAGCACACCTATGAAATAAGCCTTACCACTTCATCAGAGCACATAATCTTAACTATCCTGCAATCCAATCCCCATCTTGATTTTTTTCCCATCTCCATGTAATCTTCCTTAATTGCCTCTTTAATTTCAGTTGAAAAACTTATTCTCCAGAGCTTTTGAGATCTGGTTCCTCAGTTCGGTTCAAACAAACTCATTAAGAACTGAGACAGGTTTGGATGTTTTTTACTTTAACAATAAATTGGGTTATGTATGTAATGGAATATTATCCAGACATAAAAAGAAATGGCCGAAACCGGTTTGGCTCAGTGGTGGAGCGTCGGTCTGCGGACTGAAGGGTCCCGGGTTCGGTTCCGGTCAGGGGCATGTACATTGGTTGCGGGCACATCCCCGGTGAGGGGGTGTGCAGGAGGCAGCTGGTCGATGTTTCTCTCTCATCGACGTTTCTAGCTTTCTATCTCTCTCCCTTCCTCTCTGTGAAAAATCAATAAAATAAAAATTAAAATTAAAAAAAATTAAAAAAAGAAATGAAGTATTGATGTATGGCTACAATATGGATGAACCTCAAAAAGATTATGCTATTGAAAAAAGCCAGACATAAAAGGTCACATTATACGATTATATTTATATGAAATGTTAATAATAGGTAAATTCAGTCCTGGCCAGTGTGGCTCAGTGGCTAAATTGCCGGCTTCTGTGCACTGAAGGGTCTGGGGTTTGACTCCCAGCCAAGGGCACATACCTGGGTTGCAGGTTCAATCCCCAGCCCCACTTGGGACGCTTGTGAGAGGCAACCAACCAGTGTCTCTCTCACATCAATGTTTCTCTCTCTCTCTCTCCTCTCCCTTCCTTCCACTCTTTCTAAAAATCAATAGGAAAAAAATACTCTCAGGTGAGGATTAACAACAACAAAATAGTAAGAATAGGTAAATACAGAAAAAGAAAGCAGAATTGCAGTGGCAGAGAGAAAGGGGGTGTGGGGGGTAACTGTTTAAATGGGTATTGGGTTTTCCTTTGGGATTGATGGAACTGTTTCAGAACTAAACAGAGGTTGTGGTTACACAACAGTATGAATATACTAAATGCCATTTAATTGCTCAGTTTAAAAAAATTAATTTTGTTTTGTGAATTTCACCTCAATTTTTTAAAAAGGTATACGTAGAGATCAAGAAGCGAAAACATCATTAACCCCCAGATTAATTGTCTCCAGGCACATGGAAATATGAGAGGATAAAAATACTGACAGTGGTTGGTTTGAATGAGGTAACTAACTATTAAAGTTCACACCAGGGATCATGTTTTGTTACAAAAATGGTCTGACATTTAATCCTTCCAGACCAAATTTGTTAGGAAAAAGTCTCTAGGTCATCATTCAGCTGCAATGTAGGTAGCAGAACAAACAAAAACCTTCCCAGAATCATCTAATATCCGTCATCTTGGGAACCCTTCCTCAGGTTAATGGAGGAACTAATTTATATTTTCCTTTGTATTTTTTTCCCCCTCCTCATCCTTTCATCCCACTCTTTTAATCTCTCCCTTTGACCCAGAGATGAATGGATGATTTCAGAGTCTACAAAACAGAGATAGCTAATCTGATCTGTATAACCTCTCTTCTAAAATCCTACCAATAATGAAGAAATTATTATAAACTGATGAACAAAAAGATAGATACAGAGGCAGTAAAACATCAAACGGACTGTCAAATTATACCTAGAATGTTAGGGAGAGGTGGGAGAGATAAGAGATCAACTGAAGGACTTGTATGCATGCATATAAGCATAACCAATGGACGCCAAACATTAGGGGGTGAGGACTTGTATGGGAGTGGGATGGGGGGTAATGGAAAGATATGTACACACATAATACCTTAATAAAAAATGGAGAAAGAAAAATTAGACCTAATGATAGATTATTTTAGGACTTAAGAGTCATATTCCTTTACTAAAGGCAGATGGAATTACCTTCATGCCTTCACATCTTTGGACCATAACTGACTTAACTTTTTCCTGCACTTTCTTATCCTCACCCTAGAATATGTTTATTGATTTTTAAGAGAGAGGTAGGAAGAAATAGATGCTAGATAGATAGATAGATAGATAGATAGGCAGACATTGATCTGGAGGAGAAACATCAATTGGCACCAGGAATAAGACCCAAAAACCAAGATATGGCACATCAATTGGCACCAGGAATCCAACCTGCAACCTTTTGGTGTAGAGGACAGCACTGCACCCAACTGAGCCACACTAGCCAGGGCCCCTCCACTTTTATTTTTTTAATTAAAAAAAATATATTTTTTTATTGATTTTTTTAAAGAGAGGAAGGGAGATAGAGAGTTAGAAACATTGATCAGCTGCCTCTTGCACACCCCTACTGGGGATGTGCCTGAATCCAAGGTACATGCCCTTGACCGGAATCGAACCTGGGACCTTTCAGTCGGCAGGCTGACGCTCTATCCACTGAGCCAAACCGGTCTTGGTGGCCCCTCCACTTTTAAAGACTACATATTTCCATCACATTTCTATATAATCATTGCACTTCTAGAAGAAGCACCCAGCTCCCTCAGGCAAGATAAGCCTTGAGAGAATGAGCTCATCTTTTGTTTGTAGGGAGGGAGGAAAAGTATCTTTGAGACAACTCAAGGCTTTTAAAATCGAAGCTATAATAATAAATACCTTCCTGATGTTCAATAAAGAACCTTTATGCTACAATGGAAGGCAAGTAAGACCAGAGAGGTAGTTGTCTGCCTTTGCAGAGAGAGGTCTCCCTCCAGTAGGAAGTTAACTCTGGGCTCTCCGGGGGTTGGTGGGACTGGCTGGAAGTCAGGGAACCGCACAGCATGGGAAGGAGTGGTGCTGGTGAAACCCCTGCTGCCACAGTTTCCTGCTTTTACAGCAGATCCATGACACAGATGGATTACATAAGGAGCCTGGTCTCTGCACTTGCACCCACAAACTCACTCGAACTCATGTATGAGTTGGTGCACCCCAACCCCAGGTCAAGTTGTTGGGGTGGGGACAGTTACTGAAAAACAAAACACAGAGGGGGCCAGGGAGACGTTGGAAAGGATTAGAGCAAGCTTTCAGAATTTTTCAGAGTTCAGAGTCTACTTCACTGAGAAAGGGAATCATTCAAACTTTTTTTCTAACCGTCTCCAGTGACTTGGACTCTAATTTACGAGAGAAAACACCCAAGGATTGGAGAGAAGACAAACTGGATGGCCCAGAAAAACTTCTGCCCTTCATCACCAACCGCCCTCAATTATTAGTTTATTCCCAGACCTAGTTCTCCCATCTTTTCCTCTCTTTACCACAAAAAGCCTCACGTCGCACCTGTAGAACAGGAAGGCCCATTTAATTTTCTCTAGTTCACCAGCAAGTAAAAAATGCCCTTGGAAAGGGAGGGAAGAGGAGGGGAGTGAAGTTAGTCATGGGGAGCCTCAGAGGGGGCTGAGAAAAAGAAAGAGAAAAGGAGAAATGCATTGGGAGCATTGCTGTTAGGACCACATTCAGCTGCTTGAGCAGTGATTAACACTCCCTGAGGTGCTAATGCTTTAGTCAACTATAAACTAAGCCAGCAAATTGGTTGATGAAAAAGTTACTTACCTTGCTAAGCCCTCAGCTTCCTTCCTTCTCTGTTTCTTCCAAGTGAAGTGAGCTTGACCTCCTCAGACCTAGGTTCTGGTTGACTCGAAGTTGTCCCTCCCTGTCACTTTCCTTGCAAACTGCTGAAATGCTGTGTGTCTGTAATTATGTGTGCCCTGCCAGCCAGACTGGCTTAATTCTCCCTAAGGAAGAAGGTAGGGACCTGGCTCTCAGCCTATCGACCTCTCTCTTTCTGACCTTCCTTTCCTGCCAAGAAGGCTCAGAGCGCTGTCAACACTCCCATACATGCCAAGGGCCAGCAGGCTGAAGAAAGATGAAGCCTACCGTTTCCTGGATCTCTCTCACGAAGGCAGCATTCTGTTCTTAGAACACAGCATCAGAAAGAAAGAAAAAATCCGTGGGATTAGCTCAGACATCAATATTTGGTTGGAAAGGCTAAGCGCTAGCCCAGAGCAAAAGGAACCCTTTGGTTTCTGGATGTCCATATAGACCCAGGAGGAGTTCCCCAAGCCAAAGTCCATTTCAAACACAACCCAGCAATGACTGATGCTCTATCCACTGAGCCAAACCGGCTAGGACAGTACTGCAATATCTTGATAGTCCATCTGATAACCAAGAAGAGAAGGCTATTAAGTGACTCATGGGAGTGTATACAGTGTGGATATGTTGGACAAAGGGATGATTTGTGTCCTGGGCAGGATGGAGCATGAGTTTTCAGAATTGTGAGCAATCTAAAACTTATAGATTTTTTATTTCTGGAATTTTCCATGAATATTTTGGATCACAGTTCACTGAAACCATGGAAAGTGAAATCATGGATAATGGGGGGAGCGGGACTACTGTAAATATTAAAGGAAGACCAAAATATTAATGACTAAAAATGCATATTTTAAAAAATAAATCTTAATTGAAAATTTGTATAGGTCCTTCTCCACCCCATTGACCCACTCCAGCCAGCACCTGCACCCCCACACCCTAGGCCTTGCACCACCCTATTGTCTGTGTTCATGGGTCATGCATATATGTATACAAGGTCTTTGGTTGATTACTTCCCACCCATCTGACCTCCCGGCCTTCCCTCCGAGATTCCAGTCTATTCCACGCTTCCAGGTTTCTGGATCCACTCTGTTCATCAGTTTATTTTGTTAATTAGATTCCACATGAGTGAGATCCTGTGACACTTGTCTTTCTCTGACTGACTTATTTCACTTAGCATGATACCCTCCAGGTCCCTACATGCTGTGTCAAAGGATAGGAGATTCTTCTTTACTGCTGCATAGTATTCCATGGTATAAATGTACCACAGCTTTTTTATCCTTTCATCTACTGATGGACACTGGGGCTGTTTCCAGATCTTAGCTACTGTAAATTGTTAAAAATGCGTACTATTTCAATGAACATAAAATAAGAATCAACTCAAACATCTTACTCCTTCCTTTAATGGACGCTGACTCAGGGAATTTATTTCCACGTTCCCAGCTCCTTTTCACTCAGAGCTACAGAACTCTAGAACCTTGTGAGCAGTGGTCCTATATGGCCGTAAGATCATTCTGCTATACCTGACCCCAGCTATGTCACTTACCTGTCACTGTGAACGTGACTGGGGAACAGACCACTTACAATGAGGACCTGGAATGTGGAATCTACATCTGAACAGATGCTGAGAATGGATTTAAAAAACAAGCAAAGAAACAAAGCAAAAAACCCAAATGGTAGCAAGCACAAAGTAAAGCAAGGAAGGTGGAAGAGTTAAGGATGCTATAAAATGTTACATAACATCATGTAGAACAGGTGTGGACAAAGGAACACCAGTTGCAATGGACAAAAATCCTGAAAAAAATAGGGGTGATTAATTTTAAGCAAAGGTTTCAGGCCAATTTAATAATGCCTGAACTGAAGAAGGTCCAAGAAGTCAAGAGATTATCTTTTTTAACTCAGAAGAATCATCTTTGTATGTAAAGGGAGATTATATATAGAAAAATTTTGATATTAAAAAGTAGTTTACATTTTACCATCATTACTACTTGCTCTGATACAATTTGCATTCATCATGGGATACACACACACACACACACACACACACACACACTGTTGCATAGTATTCCATGGTATAAATGTACCACAATTTTTTTATCCTTTCATCTACTGATGGGCATTTGAGCTGTTTCCAATCTTAGCTATTGTAAATGTTACAGATATTATAATACATATAACATCCTTTATATTGAATTTGTTGGGGATTAAAACATTATCCATATATTAATATAATTAATATATAGTGGGATATATATATTTTTAAACTTAAAAATACTTCTATGGTTTGTTGTAAAACAATTTTGAAGAAAGACTTGAAAGAGGTAGGAAGTGGTCTGTGGGGCACCGGTGATACAGTAAAACCTTGACATAATAGACTAATCCGAGTGAGGGGGTGTCCATTAAAGCCAAAAGTCCACTGTATAATAAAGTAGGTTTTCCGATGCCTATGTTAAAAAATTGGCAAATTGGTTAATTTATCTCTTTTAACTTATGTAAACATGTTTGTGTAATTAAAATTAAGTATGCATGAAAAGTTTAATTTCACAGAAAAGCTGTCTATATGTATTGCTGTAACTTAAAATTTATCCTGAATAAGTCTAGTAAATGTGCACATTCACCAGTCACCACAAGTGAGCAAATGCACAAGGCTGGGGCGTGGCTTAGTGAATGTTGGAACTTGGCTGGCACACATTCAAACTGCTGCAGAAGGTCATGCCATAGGACAACAGAATCAATTACCTTGAGAGAGGCAGTGTGAGCACATGCTATTCATTCCATGAACATCACTTATGAGCAGTGACTCTTGGATTTAAATATGGAGACTATAGTTGTAGACATGTAATATTTATTTATGTCAGCAAAATTACTAGTGTTTTATCCAACGTATGGCTATTTGCTAGAATTTGTTAAAAAAAAAAAATAACTGAGTTAATATAAAAAATAACCTGTTAATGCTAAGCAAATCTAGGTTACAAGTATTTTAAAATTAACATGGAGTATGTCATGCAGATCAGAAATTTTGTCCATTAAACTCAGTCTGTTAAATCAAGATCCCCAAAATTGAGGGTTTACTGTAATCTACCATTCTTCGTGTATACCAGTTTTTGGAGTTCTATTCCTTTCTCTTACTTTCTCCTTTTTAATTTTTTAAAAATAAATTTATTGATTTCAGAGAGGGAGAGGGAGAGATAGAGACATCAATGATGAGATTCATTGATCGGCTGCCTCCTGCATGTCCCCTTCTGAGGGTCGAGCCTATAACCTGGGCATATGCCCTTGATGGGAATCAAAATGGGGAACCATTAATCTTTAGGCCGATGCTCTACCCATTGAGCTAAACCAGCAAGGGCACCTTTGTAATTTTTACTATGAACATATAATTCTTCTTAGTTTGCTAATTAGGCTTTATATTTACCCATCATTCCCACAAACACTATATAACCCTAGTGATGGACTTAAGGAAGTCTTCAGTACCTGATATACTAGTTAAGCATCTAATTCAGAGATGCTTAGTTTTCATAAAAGAGTAATATCAAGGAGAACCTTTAAGGTATGCAGTGTGTAATAACTTTAAAGGCAGCTTATGAACTGGTATGCAAGTAGAAGTTGCAGTAGGAGATCCAAGATGGCAGTGGAGTAGGGGGAGGTTACATTTGCCTACTCCCAAGACCAAACTGGAATTACAACTAAATTACAGAACAATCATCCTGAATAACCAAATGAACACTAGCTGAAGAGAAGTCTTAAAACCAAGGATTATAAAAGAAGCTGCATTGAGACTGGTAAGAAGGGCAGACACATGAAGAGGGCTGGCCCACTCCCAAGGTGGCTGAGGTTCCGGAGGAATATCTCGGATGCAAAGGTGCCCTCTGAGAAGCATGAGGTAAAACTCCAAGCCACGCTCCCCAGGCTAAAGCAACAGACTGGGAAAGACGCCCACATAACACAGGGCTGTGAAAAGCGGCAGGGTTTCTGTCCACGAGGCAGAGATGGGAGTCTGCCAGAGACACAGGCACCTTCTTAAGAGCCAATGCAAAAATTCCATTTGCAGACAGTCACCGTGGGCTCTGGCAGAGCAGACTAGAGTCTCGAGGAGATTGTGGGACATGTTTGTGGCTCTGGAGAGAAAGCTGAAGGGACTCCAGGATCCCCGTGCTGAGTCATTCTCCAATAGGGTAGATGCCATCTACTCCCCTCCCTGTGGCAATAGCCTGGGGAATGTAATAGCCCCACTCTCTGGACTCCCTCTTACCCACCCTGTGGAGCTTAGGCCCTGCTGAGGGGTCAGTTACCTTGGTCAGAGTATAGAGGTCTGGGCAGACTCAGGTTGTGTCAGTGGCTGAGCTTTGTGGCTTCAGGGTGGGGGACATTCCCATTTTCCCATGAAACCTGGAGATCTGCTGGAACCATGCTCTGGGCTCTGGGCTCCAGGCAGAACCACCCTTTGGGCTGTGCTCAGGAGGTACCAGAGGCCTGATTCCTAGTGGCTCCATTCTGCCAAGGTCAGGGCAAAATCCAGGACAAACTGAGTTGTGTCTGGGGTGAGGGCCACACCTCCCCCAGCAATTTATCAGATACAGAGTTCAAAGTAAGGGTTATGAGGATGTGCAAGAGCATGAAAAAGGACACAGAAACCATAAAAAAGGACCAGTCAAAAGTGAATCCACTGGAAGAAATAAATAGGTGGGATAAAGCAGAGGATCGAATCAACCCTTGGGAAAACAAGGTATAAAATCATTTAAGGGACCTTTGTGACAACATATTGCATAACATTCACATCATAGGGGTACCAGAAGGAGAAGAGAGGGCCATCACCAGCCCCATCCTTCTGACTCCTGGCAGCCCCATCTTGCTGAGCTCCCTCTCCTGGCAGAATCTGGGACAGATTCTGTGACTAGAACGGGGGCCATTTCCCCCTCACATTCCTGATCAGTGCAGAGCCTCCCTTACAGGGCCAAACCTTGGTCTGTTTGGGCCTGATCAACTCTGTTGGCCTCACCCTGACGACTCCATGTGACCCACCTGAACACAAAGGTGTGTGAGCACCCAGTGGGTGGAAGCTAGACTTGGTAAGCCTGGGAACATTTGCTGAGTGGCCTTGGGCCCTGCACTGGCAGGAAAATTTTGGGGTGCCTTGGGACACTTGCTGATCTGCCCCTAGGTCCAGTGCCAGCCTTGTGTGCAGTTTGGCTTTCCTGTGCACACCCTGGCCCAGTAGAGGCAGCCACTAACTATGAATCGCTGGCAGCTCTATTAGGTTGCCCAGAGCCAGACACAGGCAACATCTGACATGGGCGTGCACTAGAGTCCCTCCCAAAAGGCCTAGAACCAATACAGTCAGTGGCAAACTTCAGATAACAACAGAGCAGAATACAGTTAGCTTCACAAGCAGTATATACAAAGGGAGACCTCAGCAGGCACCAGACCCTCCTGCTGCATGTGGGCAGCCCCTGCACAGCAGCTCGAGTGCTGTGGTTGGCTTTGAGCCTTACAGTCAGCCAG